AGAAAAGCTCGTTGCAAAGCAACGAGTAGGTCTTCCGTCCTGTTTGACCGGAAGTAGTTTTCATTTTTAACAAAAAATAAGAAATAACGCCTAAAAATGGTTTGAATTATCTAAATCTATGTTGATTAATGCAGAAATAAGGAATTTTTGCTACTTCCGGTAAAACCGGAAGTGAAAACGACGGACGGAAAATTAAGCTTTAGGCTTCCAGTGACGTATGTTACCCCAAAACTTGTCAAGATTGGCAAAAATACGCGTTTTTCGACTACTTCCAGTTTGGTCGGAAGTGACGACGCCGGCGAAAGTGACCATGACGGACAGAAAATTAAGTTTTAGGCTTCTAGTGACATATGTTACCCCAAAACTTTTACAGAATGGCAAAAATACGCGTTTTTCGACTACTTCCTGTTTGGCCGGAAGTGACGCCGCCGGTGGAAGTGACCATGACGAGACGGAAAATTAAGTTTTAGGCTTCCAGTGACATATGTTACCCCAAAACTTTTCAAGAATGGCAAAAATACGCGTTTTTCAACTACTTCCGGTTTGGCCGGAAGTGACGACGCCGGACGTATTTTTACGATTTCAATAGATTAATCTTGACATTTTGAACAACTTTGCTTCTTTGAGGTATTACAAATTCTCAATACTTTTTCCGATATAAAGAAAAATCTTTCGGCCCCCCTTGGCCCCTTATTTTAGGGGCCACCCCTTTTTTGAGATATCATTTGAAAGATCTTTAAATTCTACACTTCTTTTGTTCTACATGCTTTAACAAAATATTTCTAGGTAAAAAGTTATTGTTGAAAAGGTGTTAAAAATTTTGAAATTCTTCATAGGACTGTTTTCGGACCATAGCCAGCGTCGGCGCTACGTACTTCCGGTGGTTGAGATATACCAAATACATATCTTCAAAGGTTGCTCTATCAGCACTGAAAATATCATGCTTCTGCGTTGAGTGCTTTTTGAGAAAACTGCCGGACAAAATGACCCTCTAAAACTCACTAAATCGCAAAAAACTCCGAACCGGAAGTGACGTCATCAAATTAAAAAAAAAAGAAAACGCCTTAAGTTCATATCATTTGTCATCAATGCTGAAAGTTTCATGAAAATCCATCGACGCATTTATGAGAAATCGCGTGCACAAAATCGGTAAGAATAATAATAATAAGACTAGAGCAAAGCTCGTTGCAAAGCAACGAGTAGGTCTTCCGTCATGTTTGACCGGAAGTGGCTTTCATTTTTAACAGAAATGAGAAATAACGTCCAAAAAAGGTATGATTCCTCTAAATCCATGTTAATTATTGCAAAAATAAGCCATTTTCTGTTACTTCCGGTTTGACCGGAAGTGACGACGACGGACGGAAAATTAACGTAGCTACGGATAGCGATCACGTGACATTGCATGTGAATTCTAAATTAAGAATTTTTCGGTTGGCTTATTCCGGAAATGCGCATTGTTCAATATGGCGGACTGCAAGTTGTAAACAACGTGCTCCGAGAAAAGTACAAGAGAAACGTTATAGGAACGCTCAGCTGTAAAGGTAGATCAAGTAAATTAGAGCGAATGAGAGAATACACATCTTAAGAAACAGAAAACTATAAAACCTTTTTATGAACTAAAATGTCTGTGTATCGCAAACGACCGACTAGCACCCCCTATTTAAAGCAACGACGCTGCTGGTTTGAATCTCAATCATGATATGACATGGATGAAATCGAAAGAGGGACAAAGATTTGCGAGATGAGGAACTTGACAAATCGTTTTAGGCTCTCAGTCACAGTGATATCGTTTGTATTTTTTCCCAAAAAACTTTGAAAGCGATGGTGACTAGGTACTTTTTTTCAATACATTAGGCCTACATGTAAATGGGTCTGATAGTACTGTATTATTTATGGATTTATGACATTTTCCACGGGAAAAACCCCCCAAAGTAATACGATGGAGAGGCTTATGATCACTGTTGATATCAACTCAAAAGTAGCTCTTGGTAAGTCATATTATAGATATTTACATGACATACTTTCATGATAATGGGCCTATTTTAATTAGCATTAAACTTCACCCTTATGAGTATTAGAAAATTAAGAAAATGTAATAAAGGGACTGTCATTCATTTGATGGGGGTAGGAGGGAGGGGAAAATTTTCATGGGTGTCAATTATGTATTTAAGTGAAGGACAGATAATTTATTTTTATTTCCAAGATCACTGGGGGCTAATTTTTTGTCAGATTGTACCTAAGATATATTTCTATTCAAAAAATTCAAATTTTTAATCATTTAGGGTATTTGATTCACCTTTAAGTATTTACATTTTGACTTAAAAAAATAATTTTGGGATAAAACAGGGAAAAGTAAATTAATTTATCAATAATCAGGTAAATTTTGTGTATATTATAATTATTTTTGTTCTTAGTGAGTGTTTCAGTTTGGTAAAATTTACAGTAGCCCTGCAGGGCAAGTTTAAAGGCATGTTTAGTAGTCCAAACTAATATTCAGTTGTCGCGGGTCAGCGGACTACCCTTAGTGTCGAACCCTGGACAGATTATTTTTGTTTTTCTTCACTGGTAAAAACTGTGTCAGTGTGGTAAACATTGAAACTGTTTACATGTTGTTTGCTGGTCTGATGAAATTGACAAATTTTTATATTACAGCTGCTTATTTAGAATATTGGCCAGGCAGTGGGACATTTTAATTTAATTTAGATTTACTGGTTAAAAAGTGATTTGCCAATCAATTAATATAATTAAATTTTGGTTTTGTTTAAAATTATATATTTATTTGATCTATTTTTTTTTCAGCCATCAAGATGGTACTTTCTGGTATAGGACCACCAACCCATAGCAGACCAGGGGATCTTGATGTCAGCATAATAGTGATTATGGTTAAGTCATTTAAATTTTGCTATGATAAATTTAATATTAAAGTGTAGAAAATTGGCAATTTAATGTAAGGTGTAAATTTTTGCAAGTTATATATACATGTATGTAATATGTAATGGTTTGGGCCATGGTATATTGTCCAGGGTAGCTCAGTCTGTATAGCACATGACTAGTGATGCAGGGGTCTGGTTTTGATTCCCGGTCCACCCATAATTTTTCTTTTCCTGTTACATATACATGTTTTCTTCACCGAAATTCTATATATAAGATATAGACATTGTGAGAAATATATTTTGATGTTGACTGCAGATAATATTGTATTTGTTAAATTTTATAAATTACAGATAGATTCATCAGTACAGAGACAAGGTATATGAATATGAAGTTTAGCCCATTATGCTGATGATATTAATCTGCAGCTCACGGAAGAATGATTTTCCACCCCTTCCAAAAAAGACAGGACAAGAATCGCTTGTTGAAAATAAACTAACATAGTCAATAGACTACTTTTCTTTGTCAGCTTTATATTACAGGGACATGTATCTCTTGATTGAGTGTTACGTTTAAAGTGGAAACTAATCACTCCACAAAAGATTTTTTTCCATTTTTCATATTTAATCTACCCTTTTTTATGTCTGGTGTGGTAATAGATCACTCCACTCACCCTTTTATTTTTAAATGTATATGTTATGTTTTGTATATGTCAGTTGCATATTACACTGCTGTGAGTGTAGATTATTCTTTTTTAAAAAAATGTATGAAAATTTTAAGTGACTTGTGATGTGGGTTCAGTAATAGGCCAATCAACAGATATTCTCTATTATGCATAATCTACACTGTGAGTGTTTTTCAGGCTTTTAATAAGCTGCTCCAAATATTCATGTAGAATCTTTTTTTTTTTAACTTTTTATATGAAATGTCCCGCATCAAGTGTTTTGTCCCGTGAGCATTGTCATTTTGTTTTTAATTTTTAGGTATAGTTTATGTAATTTTATGTCTCAGGTCAAGGACAGTTTTTGACTAAGCCCATTTCATGTTTTTTTTTCTCTGTTTAGGTCAAACCCTTTAATCAAAAACCTACCTACATGTATATTTGTAAATAAAAATATAGCCTAAAAAATAAAACACAGAATGTACGTGTATCATGTCGATAGTTATAATAATAGTGTAAATCTGAGGATTTTATTTCATGAATCATCAATCTGCTTTTTGGGAGAAAATCATTCTTCAGCAAAATCAAAATAATAATTTAAATGCCTAAAACACTACCTATGACATATTTATTGTACATATTTAAAATTTACAGAAACCAAAAAGTCAACAAAATAATAAGTGTATGGGTTCTGATTTTGTTTGATTGTCTGATACATGTAGGTGTCAAAAACCAAGGTGCGATTGAATGCCAAACAGAAAAAGACTTGGAATGGCCTATTAAATGTTATTTTCCTACCTGCTCATGGAATAAAATGACTTTTGATCAATTTGAAAGAGTACTGATCATATTTTTTAAATGATATTTTTTTATTCTATGAAATAGAAATTTGTGAATTTTGCAGTGCTATGTCAGATGGATTTCTTTATTCTGTATGACCAAAATGTATTTTTTGACAAATTAAGTAGAATACATTTGACATGTTTAATTAGGGGGGTCTTTGACATTGCAATGAAAAAATATCAGATGATAAAAGGAGGGGGTGTATTAACCATTCTGTAACTTAATACATGTAGTTAATTGCCTCTTAATGCAACCAATTTTGAGTGAGAAAAAGTATTTGGGCATTTTTGTCATACAATATATTTTTTAGAAATCTATAAGAAAACATAGAATTTGTTTGCATGAAATAATAAAAGGGGTATGTTGAAGAATATTTAAATGTTTTTTTTTTTAAATTTCATTTTTGTTCAAGTATCTATTGTTGAAATATAAATTCATATTTTAATTTTGTTAGGAACTTTTTATGGATAATTTCAATATTGGGTTTTAAATTTCATGTTTTTTGGAGAGGATTGGGGGGGGGGGGTCTTATATGTACTGTTATTTATAAAAATATTTTCTTTTGTCATTTATTAGCAATTGAATTCTAATTTATTTCTTCAGTTGTTTTTCCCTAATTTGCTATGCATTTTTTTGAATAGCCACTTTAATCATTATTCTTACCTTTACGATGGGAAACCAAAAGAGGGGGGGGGGGGGGGAGTTTGGACCATCTGGTACCCTTTTAGCCCTCAATGTACCCAAAATTTTTTTAGTGAAGAATAGTATTGACAGATCTTTCATATAATGATAAAAAATAAAAATTCTATTGGACAGATTTTTTTTTTGAATTTAAAAAGTGTCAAATTTGTGTGCATGAAAATGGCCAAATTGGGGAATTTCAAATGTTCTACATGGATTATTCTCTTAATTTATATATGTTAGACAATCCATTGTTTAAATAAGTTTAAAAGTATCAATATTTTTAAAAATAATTTTTAATATTAATCATATTGCACAATAAATTTTTTATGGGTAAAAATTTTTTTGTATTATGATTTTTGGAGTGACTGGAAAGGGGGGGTAACTCATTACCCCCCGGTTCCCTAATTTACCCGCCCCAAAATTTTTGACTAAGTGTTATTACACATCCCTTTACACCTTGTGAAAATTTAACAAAATCTATTGACAGGTTTTTTGGGGGTGGTGTCCTTTGCTACCTTAATTAAAATGCTCCCGAGACATATGTTACCAGTAAACTTGTCAAGAACGGGAAAAAAACCTTTTCCCAGGTTTACCGGAAAACCCCCGTACGTATTTTGACACTTCAATGATTAAGGGGATAAGGATGTATGGTCACGTGACTCAGTTGATTTACGTCATAATCTCTGATAAAATATGTACAAAACGAGATTGAAACCACAGTACTTGTGTAATTTTTTTGACTGTTTGTTTTCGTTCACCATCTAGTATAAAAATATCTGAAAACATTCAAAATTTCTTGCAAATATTATCAAATTACGGAAATGATTAATCCACTCTTCTGTTTCCCTACACTGCGCGTCCAGCGTGCCGTTGATGTCATAGTGGATCTCTTAGTACAGTAAGATCATACATGGTTAAAACGGGTAGTATAAAATCATAAAAACGGGCCATGATCTGTAAATTGTTGGGTATTTTGTGAATTTCAGACTGCAAAAACTATTTTTACATGGTTGTTGACGGAAATGTTCTGTGGGTGTGTCTAATTTCGCTTATTTAAGAAATGTGTGACGTCATAGTTGGGTTTTCTCGTACTCGAGAAATGTAAACATGACACGTTTTTCTCATGATCATGTCTCGTTCAACTTTGCCCCGTGCAATATTGAGTTCAGCTTCACCAATCGATATTTTTAGAGTTAATCAATACAATGACGATCTTAAACTTCGACGTAAATTTTCAAATATTGAATGATAGGATTTTTTGCAAATTAATTTTTTTATTGTTTAAGTTGTCTTAAAAAGTTCGTAAATTTCCGTCTCCACATGCGGTGTTACAAAAGAATCTTGCTTTTTCGAATTTTTAACCCTATTCATACTCTGAAATATTTTAAAAGACACATTTCCGCTGGCATATTTTTTATCTATGCTGAAAAAATTCAATTATCGACCGAGTAATGGACCCAGAAACATGGAGAATGAAAACTCCGCTCAGACACTGTGGGGGTGGTATTTGTCACTCAATATCTCAGAAATAAGTCTAAAAACCTATTGATATGTCTGCTTTATAGTATGTGGGACATACTAAATAAGATATATACAAAATATGAAAAAAATTAAATGACAGGTATTTTTTCAGCTAAAGGTCCTTCATCCCCTTAAGCTTGACATTTTGAACAATTTTGCTTCTTCGACGTATCACAAATTTTCAATACTTTTTGAGATATAAAGGAAAAAATTTCGGCCTCTCCAGGCCCCTGATTTAAGGGGCCAGCCCTTTTTTCGAGATGTCATTTGAAAGATCTTGAAATTCTACACCTTTTTTGTTCTCTATGTTTTAACAAAATATTTCTAGGTAAAAAGTTATCGTTGAAAAAGTGCTTGAAATTTTGAAATTCTTGATAGGACTATTTTCGGGCCATAGCGAGCGTCGGCGCTTCGTACTTCCGGTAGTTGTGATATACTTAGTGCACTTCTCCAAAAGTTGCTCTAGCATCACTGAAAATTTCAAGCTTCTGTGTTAAGTGCTTTTTGAGAAAACTGCCGGACAAAGTGGCCCTATAAAAATCACTAAATCGCAGAAAACTCCGAACCGGAAGTGACGTCATCAAAATAAAAAAATATATATCTAGATTTTTTGATGTTCTATCAAACCTGAAAGTTTCATGAAAATCGATCGAGCCGTTCTCGAGAAATCGTGCGTACAAAATCGGTAAGAAAAAAAAACAATAATAATAACTAGATACGATCTCGTTGCGAGCAACGAGTGGGTCTTCCGTCCAATTCTTGATGAGATGAGATAAGATTTTGATTGCGATTTTCACTCTAAAATAATGATTTACCACAATCTGTAAA